TACGATACGTGTTGCACAGAAATGATCGGACGGTTTCTCTTCAGTGACATGAGGATGACTACATCAACGCTGCATTGGCTACTGTGACCTAACCAGCACGATGACCATCAATCCTGCAGGTCAAAGGTCCGTTTCAGAGAAATGCCTGCTTCCATAGTCGCCATGCGGCATACGTCGTTCAGCTTACCTTCGCCTGACAGGGCGCGAATGTTCCAACTTGCAACACGGAATTAACCTCAGATATTGTTGACTGCTCGTTCGGCGGATTTTTGGTTCCTGATTGTCTGTTAAGTCACGATCTGGGACCATTCGTTTTGCAACTCATTTCCGTGAGCGCAATGAATTTCGTCGCCGCTCACTAGGAACGCATGACCCCACAGCTGCCATATGTAAAACTTTTGTTTTATGGAGCTGATGGTTCGGTGCTTCCCTCTTGTTGTGTCATCAGCGATGTTCGCCTTGTGACCACTACGTCGTCACCTGTTTCCTTCCAACATAGTGGTGGTGCTCGTTTCTTTACTTCGGAAGAATAAAAAGTGAGTGACTCAGCATTACTGACGATCTTTTGACTATGAGATTAACGCTCTTTCAGTCGAGCTACCTTGCTAATGGGGGGGGGTGATAACACAGATGTAGAAGTTTGACCATGTTTATTATGCTTGATTTCTTACGCGTTGATCATCTCCGTATCGCGGGCTAAAAATCTTATTTCCGTTTTCAGAGGTAATTCATCACAATCGTTCATAACTTCCGTCTCTCTTATCCAAGGAATGCAAAGATGATTGAATTATGAAGCAGTATAAGGAATGATGCAATTCGTCTCACTGCTTTCGTCCTCTAGCAAAACGGGAAATAGTCGAACAGCATTGATCCGAATGGGAGAAGGGGTTTTATTCATAAACGTACAGTATATAGTGTCGTTCAAGGGATCAGGTTTCATATAGACGTGTTCGCTCTCTGTAACCATCGTGGCGTGAATCACACTTTCTGTGGGTAAGTATTAATGCGGCAGCGGGGTAACAAGTTCATACCAGTGAATTGGTGATGCAAGAAAAGAACACAACGTGAAAGAATAGAATTTAGGCACACACATATGCAGCGTTTCGCTTGTTGATGCCATGTGGTAGTGCTGTTGTGCGCAGCTGACGACGGAGCGGATATTACAGATTCTGCAAGGGTTTCAGCTCTGTCCGATCAGGTAGAAGTTAAGATAACAACAGCTGTGGAAGCTGA